CTTTCTGTTGTTAATATTACTATTGAATGATGAATTTTATGAAATAACAATAAAAATAAATATACATGATAGATCTTATATTTATCGTTCTTTATTTCTCATTTACATAACAAATTTCTTTTTTTTTTATGATGTATTGTTGTACTTGTATGTGTTTTTTTATCTTTTTCTTTCAATACAATGATTGAATCATTGTGAAAGTTGAAGAAAAAAAACAATCGAACAAGATAAAAAAAAAAGAAAATTTTTCAATGCCTCCTTCACTTGATTATCAAATCGAACGAAACAAACAACAAATAAGGCTAAAAAAACAAAACATTGCACATATTTTTATATTAAAAAATAAATAAAATCTAGAAGCTTCCAGAAAACATTCATAAATATTATTGGTATATATTTGCATCACCTAACATCGTTTGCTATCGATGGCATACCATGTTTTTTCTTTTTTCATCTTCCATATAGATGTATGTTCATAAACACAAAAAAAAAAAAATTTTCTTTTTTAGATGTATGTTTAAAACAAAAAACATATTTTCATTTTGGTTGTCGTAAAAGAAGTAAAGTCATTGCAGCATCAACAACTTCAACACTAGCAGATGTTAATGAAGTACCTGATAAATCATGTTTTGAATGTTGTTTTTTTCGTTTTATATTTGTTTCTTCTGATGATCCAAGATGATGACTAATTTTATTACGTTTTTTTGTATTTTTTAATGGACAACTATTTTCATCATTTGTATTACATATTATATGTCGTCGTCGTTGTCTTTCAAAACATAAACGTTCAAATAAATTAATTGTATATTGTGTTGTTAATGATAATTGTCTTGTATTCATTGTTAATAATGTATCAAGTAAAAGTAAACGTTTTGAACGATCTGTTGTCCATAATGGATAACGTAATTTAATACCATTAATTGGATTTTTAATTATTTTAACAAAAAATGATAATTGTTTTGTCATATGATAACGTATTTTACTTTTTAAACGAGCACTTTGTATTAATTGTTCATCATTTGAATTATTATTATTTGTTGTTGTTGTTGTCGATTGTTCAATATGATTTTCAATCCAATCACATATTTCATTTAATGTTAATGCACGAGATTTAGAATCTTCAATAGCAAATAATATCCAAAAACATAATGCTGAATGTGGTGGTGAAACAATATCAGTTGTTGTTGTTGTTGTGATAACACGTTCACTTGAAGAATTAAGTGATGATGAATCATTATCATGTTCACTATCAGATGAATCAATAAAACTTAATGGTGATGAACGATGATAATGTTTATCTGTAATATAAATTGGTAAATTTTTACTTAATATAGGTACTGAACGTGTTAAATGTGATGATGATGAACGATCAAATATATCTGCTTGTGTTAACCATGATAATTCTGTAAGATCATGATCGGATTGTTGTTTTAAATTTGTTGAATATTGATGTGTTAACATTTGTCTGAAAGAATATGATTCCAGTTTTCTTCTTTTTTTTTTTTTTTTACAGATGAGAACAAAAAGAAAAATGATGAAGAACAAATTTCGAAATACTTGACGCATTGACATACACAATGTACTATTTCCTTCCGTTTGACATGTGCTCTCAATTTTTTTGTTTCTACTATGTCAGACGGATAAAAGAGAATATAAGAAAAAAAAAGAAGAAGAAACATATGACAGTTACTTACGAAAAAAAAAGAAATCAAGAAATTTCAACATATGAGAATATGTAAAACTAGAGGTTTTTTCCTTCAATGACATCATATCTATTGATTTTATTTTTTTCTATTCTTTTAAATTATTTTTTCTTGAAAGGTTATATCATACTTCTGAATACAAATATACTACTAATATACGAGAGTACTCTTATACACATACGATCAATATTTAGCTTATTGCTGATGATCTGATGTGTTCGTCTGTTTATATGCTTGTAAAGTCAAGAAAAAAACCGATGAAAGAAGAAAAGAAGAGAAGAGTATGTAGAATCAAGAAGTATAGAGTGAATATGTGAGAGTAGTAGCGCAAAGAAAGAGGAGACAAAGACGAAAAAGAGAAGGAGAGAAGAAAAGAGGTGAGAGAAGCATATTGAATCTTTCTCGCAGAGTTAGTCGTGAAGGTATGCGTGTGCTCGTCGAGAGGAGATAGACGACGACGACGACGACAAAGACAAGGGAATACTAGTTGACAGTGAGAGAACTATTGCTTAGCAACACGACATCTGTCTTCCACTTATTTTCTCAGGATATACAGAGACATTTACTTGTATACCTGTGCTTTTGTGACATTAGGATGAATGATGAATGGAGAGAAGAAAAAAAAAAAGACATATTGGCTTTTCTTTTGTATTGATGAAGTATTTAAGTGGCTATGAAAATTGAGGAAACAAGTTAGTAAGCAAAAGGAAATATAAAAAAAAAAATCTCTTATCAAAACAAATATCATCAACATAGCCAGATGGTGTCTCGGTAAAAAAAAATGTTCAGAAACTAGTAGAAAGAAAAAAAAAGAATATAAAAAAACCTAAGTGTATGTTTTTGATAATAACATTTCAAAAAGAAATTTCTCTAGATTTATTTCCATGAAAAGTTTATAATTTCATAAAAGAATAAATAACTATAAAAAAAAAACCTAATCGATTAGTTGTACAAACACATAACTAGTCTAAAATTTTATTGAAGAATAATACAATAAAATATGATGTTTTCTTTTCACCTAAGATTAACATAAATAATCTACAAAATGACAAAGATATTTTATCTTTTCTATTCTATCAATTATTGAAGATTACTTCTTTTTATAGATAATGACAGAAATTTTTTTACTAATATTATTAATATTCAAAGAAAATAATGTTGTAATAATGAATATAATTGTTTCTTTTTTTTTTTTAAATGAATGGGACTATAACTTACAAATTTAATTGTTACATTTCAAAATAATTTCGTTAATTATCTCAAAAAAATCAATACCTTTTATAACAAAAAAAAATTCTATTTTACAAAATGAAAATATTATTACGTCGTTTTGTTTTGAAGAATATAGCAAGACACAGTCGATAAGATTTATAAACTAAAAATCACTACAGTCAAGTAATAATACATATGATATGTAAATCATGATTTTTATGCAGTTGGTCTTCAGAGCTTTGAATCAGTTATTTTAAATTCCTATTTAGTTTCTCTTCTGTATTCTTGTGATGTCTCTCAAATATATAGAGAGAGGGACAAGAACTCTCAATCAAATTGTTCATCTATTGTAAGAAATAAGAAAATAATTAGAATCTAGATAAAATATAGAAGTCATTCGAAATTGTTTTCAGCAGTGCTTTACAATCGTCAAGTAATAAAATATCATAATCGTACTCAGTTTTATTTTCAAAATTGCTTTTTCAAGTTTAAACTTCTTACAAGAAAAAACTCTTAACGAAATCCGTTGATTGTAAAGAGTAATATTTGATTTTTTTGAATATAATAGAGTTACTTAAATATCTGACACTTTTACAACGAACAAGTTCAATTTTAAGGGCTTTATTTATGTAAAGTTTAAAATCGAAAATCAATTTTAAACGTCACTTCAATGAAATCATGAGATTACAATGATATCAAAAGCGATCGGAACCGAACAAACATACTTATCCTAATAATGGATGCGCCAGAATAAATGGTCGAATTTTCTGTTTTCATCATCTACTACATTCTATTAAACAATAAAATATACCACAAGATACAGCGTGAAAAGCTCTACATTTTGCACAATAAAACATATTAGATGATGAAAAAATAAAATAGAAAACGTAATTATTTATTCTGATGCACTCATTAGTATACATCTAAGAGTAAGCATTACGCAAATAAGTGTCAAACCATATTCTGTTCATGATCGAATATTAAATCATTTTGTTATTTATTTTAAATAGAAAAAAGTCAATTTGCTCAAGCAATATATTTTCTATTTATCTAATTTGTATTCAAAGACAATTTCCTTCCTGACGATCTGACAAATATTTATTCACATTTGTCATCTAATACACAAGACATTTGAATCATTGTTAACTTTTTTTTATTAAATAGTTTCCTGTCTTTCAATTTCAAAATAATAGTCAAGAGTAAAATTACTTTTATCTTATTCTTAATCATATGAAAAAGTCATTATGAGAACAATATCAGTGGCGTAGGCAGGGGAGGAGACTCAACTTCCCTACGAACTTTTGAGCTCCCCCTTCTCTAGCGAAATTTTTGATACGTATATTTTATTCGTTAGGACGGTAAAGTGGTAAAAGGTCGAAAGAAAAATATCGAAAGACAAAATGTCGAAAATCAAGATGTCGAAACAATGAGGATGTGGGTGTAGGTCTGGCTGTGAATGTAGGGTGTGGGGATGGGTGTGGGTGCAGATGAGTGTGGGTGTGGGAGTCATCGAAAAGAAGACCCACACTCTAATCATTATTGTTAGATCCTCTTAACGTAACAGTCAAATCCATAGAAAAAGAAATAATCTAATTAAGAGATAATTGTTTTTTCATGACAGCCGATAGGATATCTTTTCAACGGCATTTTTCATATTTTTGTCTACATTCTTTCATTCGACAATCTGCCTTTCGACAAAGTTATTTTCGACATTTTTTATTTCTGCAATGTGCTTTTCGACATTTTGTCTTTCGACCTTTAACCACCTCTATTCGTTAGGACAGGTTTAGCTCCCCTAGTGGATAAAATACATGTGTCAAAAATTTCGTTAGATGCGGCTTAGTCCCCTCCCTAGGCCAAAATCCTGGCTATGCCATGGAAATATATGAAATCCTATCATTATTGAAAAAGAGCAAAACTTTATCGTCAACTAGTGGCCTCTATGAAACATATAGTTCATCGGTTCCATTATAAATTCCAATGAAAGAGAATATTTTTAAAATTAACTAACTGGGAAAAAATCTCTTTCAAATTATTTATATTTAATTGATTTTTTTTGTTTCTTAACTAACGGCTATTTCATTGATGGATTCAAATACAAATGAATATGAACAAGAACTTTTATCATATCCAGAAAAATTAGTTGAATATCTTAGTGAACATATAGAAATAATTGAAAGAACACTTAATGATGATGAAAATTTTTGTAATCAAGATATTAATTCAACATTAAATTATGTTGAAATTATAGAAAAAAAATTTAATGAAAAAATTCAAACATTAAAAAAACAATTAGAACAAATACGTTTAGAAAATAAAGATCTATCAGAAAAAAATAAAAAACAATTTCAAGAAAAATTTACTGAAATTAATGATTTATTTATTGCTCAAAATTATGTACAAGGTTTGTTAAAATTCTCAAAAAAAAATAAAATAAAATAAAACTTGTAAATTTTCTTGTTTCTTAAAAGCTTTAAATAAATTTAAAGATTGTGAAAAACAATTTCAACAACGATCAACATTAATTCAACATGTACCAAAATTATATATAAAAGAATCAGACATTGATGAATTTTTTTCATCTAATCATAAAACTAATATATCTTCAATACAATCAACTATTAAAACTCCAATAACAACATTAATAACAGATCATGATATTGAAATAACTTATAAAGAACGTTCACGTCAAGAAAAAATTGTTGAAAACGATAATTTTAATAAAAATGATGAAGATTTTGAAGATATTAATAAAGAAAAAAAAGAAGATTATGATAAGTAATAATTTAAAATTCAAAAAAATACAATTTTCTTTATTTTGTTTTTTATGTATTCAGATCTAGTTTTGGTATTCGATCAAAACGTCAAGAAAATCCACCACCAACAATTAATAATAATAATAATTCTATGTACGATTGAATAGTAAATTAAATTTTTCTTTTTTCTTTAATAGATGTTAATCAATATATAAAATATTAAAAACTAATCTGTATTAGAAAATGAAAAATTCGAAATATTCTTAGAAATTTATTTAATCTTACAATTATAAACACTAAAAAATAGTTTTGAAATTTCTTTTAAAAAAAATAAAAAGGCTATTGCTAATGCATCATGATGATTATTTAAAAAAAACCAAGGGGGAAACAGCGGACCAGAGATGGACAAAACCGCACCGCGCCACTGCTCGCACCTAGGCGCTATGCACATCTCTCTTTCTCTTTGTTCTACCAATCAGTTTCTCAAACTCTACCGAATACCGGGATGCTCTAAGCATGCGCTCATCGAAGCTCAGACTATTATAGCGTAGGCGTGAGCAACGGCGCGGGGAGGCGCGGTGCGACTTTGCCCATCTCTGCAGCGGACTTCAACCGCAGTGGCTTCACATTTTCACAAGACTTCAAAAGAGTTCTAAAGACTTCACAAGACTTCAGAAGACTTCGTTAGACTTCATGAGACTTCACGGATTTCATGAGACTTTATAAGACTTCATAGGACTTCACAAAACTTCATAAGACTTCACAGGACTTCAAGAGGCAGATTCCATGAGTATCAAAAAACGTTTCTTATGAATTTTCATGCACTAAATGTATTTCAAAACTTTCAGAAGAATTCATGAGACTTTCTGAGAATTCATAAGACTTTCAAGACTTCACGGCTGAAGTCTCTGCTGTTTCCCCCCTTGAAAAAAACCTACTAGAGCAGTAATGAGAGCATGATCACATTGTCATGCTGAATGTATTTAATAAGTTTCATCTAATATTCATTCTTCGAAATGAAGAGTTTTTTCTTTTTCTAAAAGACAATGATATTTTCTAAATTGTAGAAAAAATGATAACAAACCTTCGATAACAACTGCTACTGGCTTTCGACCATTCCGTTTTAGTACAAGATTAAATCAAATCTCAAACGACAATAATCTACTATTTTCTGGTCGTAATATTTCCGTTTCTTCATCAATACAGAATAGTGACACACATTCTCGTAATAATCATCGACAAGCTGTAACTACACCAAGTCCACCTGTATCAATTCAACGGCATACAATATCTATTTCAAATGATGAAGATGAACGTTTGATTTTAAATCCTGGTAATATTTGTTTTTTGTTTTGTTTAGGAAAAACTACTTATAATCTGATAAAAGAAAATCTAAATAATTTCATAGAGGAACTTGTTCAGAAAATTTAAATGATTTTATTCGAATATTGATAAGTTTTTCTTATCTAATAAAAACTGAATTCCTATTTGACACAGCTATTGAGTTTCGATCTAAAGTTTTACGCATATAGAGAACTTCTTAAAAAAACTCATAAGTTTTTGACAAAAAGTTTCTTCGAGATATAAAACCTTCAAAAGTATAGACTCTTTTCTATGGATAGTATACATCAGAGCTCTATCGATTTGATTCTTACTCTTTGAAAATCAAATATTGACGCATTGCCTAACTATTCGAGAGTATTTTAACAAATCCATTTTAGCACTTAAAATAAACTTCTATTTTTATATCGTAAGACTTACACTGACTGATACAAAAACTTATATAGATTCCAAATATGTTTTTTGCTATCGTCCTAATATAATTATCAATTGTTAAATGCAAATGTTCTACTGCCAGTAGTACTTATTTCCTAGATTTTCTTTGACCTCTTCCGTGTCAGCCTAATAAAATGTTAGCTTTGCTTTTTATTGAGGCTAGCCCATGTGATGAAAACCGGCAGTGAACCGCTACTTTTTTTCGGTTTGCCGCGGTAAACCGGCGGTTTTTCTCGCTTTACCGGCTCCCTACAGGTTTAACCGTTTTTTTTTAATGGTGAACTGCGGTTTACCGCTAAAATTGATCCGGTGTTTGTGACATGGCAGTCTAGTTGAGTTCTTTATCTGAACAAAATTGAATAGTTTAGTCAAAAATCTCAATAGAAACGTAGTTTTTATAAGAATCTTATGCCGTAACTATAGAAAATAAAATCATTGAAAACAAAAGAAGGACATTTAAGGAAGTTTTTTGTAATTAGTTTTGGCATTGAAACAAAAAAAAAATAAATAGACGATATATGGTTATTTTAAATGAATAGTTTTGTGAAAACGAACTTGAGTAATTATGTTTCTTGATGAAAAGATACTAATGTATATTTGTACGAAGAGAGAAGATCAAATTGTTGATCTTCAAGTCAATTATGTTTCAAAATATTTGAAAATTAGTCGAAATAACTAATCATACATCTAAAATTTGTTCAGTCCTTCTTTCTATATTTATATTATCTATTTTTATTTCTAAGTATGAAAGACAAAACTTAAAAGATTCAAAAGCTGCAGTTAAGCCCCCCCTCCCTCAAAAATCGATCTCAGCCCAGGAACATCCAAATGTCATGAAACTTTGAGGATATGTCGGGGCTGTAAAAGGACGTCTATGGTAAAATTTTCAGCCTCCTATCCTAATGTGTAAGTGAGATACGAACCAAACAAGGGTCGAAAAATAGCTTATCGCGTCTCGAAAAATTCTCTGTGGGTATTCATTCAATATGCTTGATTGTTTTCTTGTTTGAAAGAGTATGTTCGAATGCAGTGTCTATGAGGGCCCTTTTTATTTTACTCTTATCTTTCTCGAGGAAAAAAGGTCTAACAAGTTCAATCACTGAAAAATCTCTCAAAAAAATGGCTCTCATAGGCACTGCAGTTTTTGATGCTCTTTCAAACAAAAAAAAACATTTGACTTTATACCGGGTTATAGTTGACTTTCGCTGGAGATGCGTCGCTTCGACTACCATATTGAGAAAAAACGAAAAAGATTTTTGGAAAAACCGCTGGTTTTTCGAATAGAGGTTGTCAAAAATCTTGAAAATTTTTCGGAAAAAAAGAGTTATCGAAGAAAAGTTTTTATCGTTTATGAAAGAGAAAATGACAGGCTATCCTCTCCATGTATTTATCTCAATCTTGATCATTCTGACGAAAACTCACTTTTTTGAAGGGAGCCCCCTTATATTTAAATGAATTCTTTCTTCTCGAAGTAATTCTAATTACAATATACATTATGAACATTTTTTTAAGTATTTTTCTCTCAATGAATCAATTATAAATAAAAAATATATGTAGAAAAAATGTAAAATTCTAGTTCTAATTATTCATTTTTGATTTCTTTCAATTATTTATAAGTAGTTAAAACTTCCCATCAACATGTACAAACAGTTAGATTCAATTTTTATTACATGATTCTATTAAAAATAAAAAATAGAAAATTTAATTTAATTTTTATTTTAGTTTCACATTATCAACATGAACGAAATATATTTCTTTTAATAGCATGTGATAGTCAATATATAGTTTGTTTTAAAAGTCCACCTAATCGATTAGATCGATGGAAATTAGGTACTATTGAACGTCGTACTCATAGAGAATATATTCTCAATTGGCATGATGGTCTTATTATATCTATGGGTTCAATTACAAATAGTATTATTTATATATTTACAGAACGTGAATTTTTTATTTATTCACTTGAAAAACGTTGTAAACTTGATTCACGTATGTTACCACGTGGTGATGATGATGAATTAGAAATAAATTATCCACAATATAATGAATCTCAACGTGGTATTGGTACTGTATATGATAAATATATGTATCATATTTATTTAAATCGTAAAAGTCATTGGACATTATCACAAAATATTCTTGAAAATTTAAGTCATGTGCAGAATTATGATTTAACAGATATATTTCCTAATGTATTACGTTTTATACATATATGTATTAATGAAAATACAATAAATTTTCTTGTTCAAATGAATGATTCATCATATGGTGTTGTATTTTATTCAATAAATAATTCTAAAAAAAATGATAAATTATCATTAATTAAATTTCCTCGTGCTCAAAAACCATTAACAATTTGTTCAGCATTTATTGAATCATTAAATCAATATATTTTTTTTATTAATGATCCATCAATTGATACATTACATATAATAAGTACAGAAAAATATTTAGAAAATTATTCAGTTGATTGTTATGCTATTTGTTATGTAGCTAATAAACATGAATTAATAATTGTAACAAATACTTCTATATCTTCGATAAATTTACATAAATCAAATTTATTTTTTTCAAAATTTTTCTAAGAAAATTGTTTAATAGATGTATAATGTTTCTTCTTCATACATCATTAAGTGTTTTTTTTTTGTTTCGATATGAAAACAACTTCTCTGTTCTATGGATTTATATTTGAGCATGAGTATTTTTGTTTTCTGTTTTTTTTTTATTATTAAAGTATGAAATAAAGAAAATAAAAACTAAATCAAGTACGAATGATCAATAGTTTAGCTTAGATCATTCTATGATTAATTAAAAACAAAAAGAATCGTTTTGAAATAACGAGAACCGGTAATAAAGAATAAGTAAGAATGTATAATGTTGGTGTAAATATTGAACAGTAAGTCTTCGACATAAGATCAACTGACATATACTTTGAAATTTTTTGAGATGCGGTCATAGAAAACGAAGCGACTCCTTATTTTATTATCATAGTTCATCTATGATATCTTGCTATAGAAAACTTGATTGATTGTTGAAATTGTTCTCTGAATTTGACCTAATTTTTTTTCATATTACAAAACAAAAATGAAAAATAGGTTGTCGTTAAACTTTTTTCCAATACTTGAGTCATTTTGCACTAGCTAAGTGATCAGTTAACTGACACTTCATATCCTTAGATAAAATTAGCATATCTACGGCAGAGATGTTCATCGCGGCTGAAAATCTGGCGCTGTCGCGCCGCGGCCTTAGAAAAAAAAAGCTGCCGCACCGCAGCCGCGCCGCGACGTTTTATAAAAAAATGTTGCCGCGGCTCTGCCGCGCCGCGATGGCTTATAAAAAAAACGTTGCCACGCCGCTGCCGCGATGAATTATAAAATAAACGTGCCGCCGCCGCGCCGCTGCCGCGGCGGTTTACAAAAAAGTGTTTCTAATTTCACTGCTGCGACTATATTTGACCAGAGATATTGGTACTAGTCCATCAGATTCATTCAGTCTCGGGGTGTTTCATTTGTAAACCCTGAAATTCAATTAAATTCATGCAGTTTTTCAATGTTCCCCAAAAAAATCCTGCCGCTGCCGTGCCGCTGCCGCGATGGTCTTTTAAAAAACCTGCCGCTACCGCGCCGCTGTCGCGATGATTTTTAAAAAATCTACCGCTACCGCGCCGCTGCCGCGGAGATTTTTTAAAAAACCTGCCGCTACCGCTGCCGCCACAGGTCATCGCGGCAGCGCCGCGATGGACATCTCTGATCTACGAATGTGTAGTTTCAGTTTAGTAACGTCATTGATATGATGTAAGTCATGTACACTGAAGACTTCGAACATACAGTGCAGCGGTGGATCTAGGATTTTTTTGATAAGGGGCGATTTGATAGATATGGGGCGATTTTGACCAAAAATCGAGTTTTGAAGTTCATTAGTAGTAGTATGCACTCTATTTTTAAGTCTTTTCTGCTGGGAAAAATCGAAAATTTTTTTTTCGAATGGGGGCGATCGCCCCAAGCGCCGCCCATTCGAAAATATACAGCAGCCATTCGTCTACTGGATTGGCCGAGTGGGCGCCATCCACTCGAAATTTCGATTCGCCCACTCAGGAAACGAAATCTAGATAAAACGCTGCGAACATAAGTTTACAAAAAGGAAATATTTCAATGCGTGTCTTGTGAAAGTTGTAGGAAATATTGAAAATTTCAACTCAAAAGATATTGTCTATTATTGGTATTAAGGATTTAATTTTTAATTTTCTCTTCGCCTACAAGCATACACTTATCCTAGTGATATCACTTTCTTAAATGTTTTTCTTTCCGACAATTAATCTCTCCATGTTGCAACAAACACGGATGTTAATATAATGGCTACTTCTTAATTGCGAACAAAATTTCAGCCCTCACCCACACTGTCGGCATGCTAATTGCTTTGATTTTCGTCCTCAATCAAGAAGACAGGAATATAATATAGTTAATACTTCGTTGAGAACACCAATATCAATATAATCAATAGATCTTATGTCAATGAATTATTATTTACATCAAAACTACACATAGCTAAGTATGACTAATTGTCTATTAGAAATTGATTTTTGCCAAGCAATAAGTTTATTTCATAGTGTGTAGTCAAACAAAAGAAAAAGAAAAGTGAAATGAAGTGCACAAACCCACACACATGTAAAAAAAGAAAACAAAAAGATTAATAAATTTATGGTTTCCATGGTTTATCCGAAACATTACTGATATTTGATCGTTCCGAAGCAATTGATGAACGTGAACTTTGTTTTGATGCTTGTGTTTGTGAACGTGATAAACGACTTCCACTATCTGTTGGTAATAAATTTTTTTCAAGTTGTGTATTTAATTCTTCAATATCATGATTATTAAATTCTTCACGTGTATCAAATGTAACCATAGGTCCTGGTGTAGGTCGTGTTGCACTAGCAACAGATTGACCAACAGGTGTTTCTTGACGATTTGTATTCGTTGATTGTGAACGTTTAAGTTTTGCTGATGGTGTTTGTGGTGTATTTGATAATGTCCATGATAATGGACATGAACCAGTTAAAAGACCATGAGGAAATTTTCGAATGGCATATTTTAAACCTAAAATTTTTATTAAAAAAGTGTTTTCAAAGTTATATCTCGAGAATATGATGAGTTGTTTTTTTTTTGGTCAAAGAATTCATTAAACAATGAAGAATTTTGCAATAAAATTTTAACTAGATGTTTTTGATTTTCTCTATTTATTTTAGCATTAGACGATTTATTATAGATTATGGGAGATTTTTCCATATAAACAATTGAGAAAAATGCAACTATTGGTTTATTTCTTAGTAGATAATAGAATTTCATGTTAAGAATATAATATTAAATCATGATGTATGTTAAACTATAACGATAGCCCCAAAGTTCTTGAAAGTTTGTCCTATCTACACGATTGTTATACTTTTAGGCGGACTCAAACTCAAAATTATTACGAAATTGAATTCTAATTCAATGTGCCGAAATTATTGTATATTAAATAAATAGAGCATATAGTTAAATGTAGAGATATGACGACAAGAGAAAAAAGTAGAGCAATGTGTAAGGAAACTTTTTAAGAACTGAAAAAGTGCATATTAAATTTTTTAAAAGTGCGAAAGAGTGTTGAACTCCTTTTTTTTTTAATAAAAAAACATACTAATTTGACTGGAAAGAAACTGACAGGTTTTTAATAACTGCGGTATACACACCCGAGAAACGCTATATCTCTGCTTATGTAATTAATTTTTTTTTTAAGAATGAATCAAAAATATTGACATTAATGAGAATCTGAAGCTTATCAGGATTTTTATTTTCAAGATCTTACAAAATCTAATTTTGCATTTGATTGTCTAATAGAAAAAAATGAAAATAAGTCTTTAATTACTATGTGTGGCATAATATCACGAGATAAATGTCAAAATTTCGATAAATCTAAATAACAGTTTCTAGAACATTTTAACTTTACATATTTTTTTTTTTTTAATTAGTTTAACGGCTTTATTGTTGTGTAGGATTGATATTAGAAAAAGCTCTAAAACGCAATAATAAGATAAACTTCGACTTTTCTACGCTCTGACATAAGTTTGTATCTTAAAGATGATTTTCTCTGTCAATATTTAAAGAAGATTTTATCATTCAAATTTTATTTCAAATTAGACAATTCATGTTTTCAGTTACAGAACTTAACATAATATTAATTCAATAATTATTTATTTAAAATATCAATACAACTAAAATCTTTCAAATGTTCCGGATAGTTTCTATCATACTTATTTATTTTTATAATATTAAATGTGTTCATTTTTAAAGCAAATAAATTGATTACATTTATGTGTATTGTTTATAATATCATCATTAATACTTTTTGAAATGTTTTACATATGAGAAAAGTTCTACTCGAATATACAAATCTTAAAAGTTTTTAAAGATACGAAACGCATCTAAAAAACAAAGAAACACGAATAAAATTATTTAGAAATACTGTTTCTTTTTGTTATTTTTGTCTGTCTGACAGGTAATCTTCAAAAATAGTGAATATAACTTAATAATAATCGTAAAATGTAACAAATTAATTTGATATTTATACACTTAGCCATGATAAATGACGACAGACGTGTGATAATAAAAAAAAAGAAAATAGCTTTTTTTTTTGTAATGAGAAAAATTTAATATTTGAATTTTTTCGTTTTATCATCACAAAAAATATTTTAATTAATAAAAGATATACTGAATATATTGTAAATTAAATATAAACAGTTCTAGTAGAACGAGTGAACATCCCTATGAAAGAGACAAGCTATGCGTTCAATTGATATGATGAAGTTCAATAAAATTTTTGCCTGTATTGAGCCTCAAGTGAAATGTGTAAAGGTGAAAAATTTTTTTAGCTTCTAAAGATGTTCTTGTGATGAAATATTTAACCTACAACAGAGACATCCTCAGGGAAAAAACTGAAGTACCCATTAAATGAATATTTAAATATATAATTCATGGATACTGTAATGATTATACTCATCTTTTACTTGAGACTGTCTTTATTGTAGATTGAATGTTTCAATAAAGAGGCAAAATTTCATTAAAATTCGTCTTATGAATTGAGCATAATTTGTTTGTCTATGATGTAAGAAGTTCTAGATATTTTTTTTTTCTTCTCAAAGAACAAAATTTATTAATTGAAGTAGAAAATTTTTAATAAAATGCTCTATATTTTCTAATAATTGATTCAATAATAAAGATTAACGATAATGACAATTGATTTGACAACATGTCATCCTAAACACATTAGATAATAAAGTGTAAAAGACGAAATCAAAAGTAGAACAGTTCAAAATAATATCATGTATTATTCTATTAATATCTAGTAAAGAAAAAAAAAAAGGTACAATAAGTAATAGCATAGAAAAATTCTTTCGATATTAGTCGTGATCGAGACTTTCTTAGTCAAATTTATTGTACAATACTAAATTCTAAGAGTTAATTGAAAAAAGTTTTACTTTTCAATTGAGAAAAAAAAAATAATACTCCTACTAATACTTCTAACTTGAATGAATATCATTTTATTTATTATCTTT